ATACACACTCTCAATCTGTCCCTTTCTCTCTCTCCGTCCTTTCTCACTGACATATCACAGCACACTCACACTCTCTCTCCCTCTGTCACATTTCTAACCAAAAAAAATTAAAATCACACTTTCCCTCTATATCACGTTTTTAATTAAAAATAAAAAATTATTTTAATCTTTTTGATTTTTTTTTCATAATATATATATATATATAATTTTTAATATAAAATTTTAATTTTTATAAAATTAGGCCAAGTTTGGCAACTAAAAAAAAAGTCAAAAAGTTATAAAAAAAGTTAAAAAAATATCATTATTCACAAAAAAAAAAATATAAAAATATTAATAAACAAAATATAAAATACCAATCACGTTTACAGCAGCCTATGTACAGACCTTGTTGCATAGGAGTGAGAGGAAAAAATAAAAAATATTACCGGTGTATATTGGATGGTAAAGTTGGGCCTGTGGGGGCTCACTACGGGTCCCTTTTTTCTAATAGGAACCGTTCAATGTGTAGAACTTGTCGAGTACTATATGCTTGTAAAAAATCACGTCTATCGGATATCACTAGCTATATGATCTGACAGGGTAATTTATAAGTAAAATGGGCCGAGCTGAGTAAATGGGCCGATTTGTGAGTCATAGTAAGAGAGGCCGAGTGAAAGGGCTTAGAAGTTAGCCCGGTCCAAGAGAGCTCTGCAGTTAGCTCGGTCACCATACTCAGAGCGGTAACAGTTAGCTCGGTCATGCCCTTCTGAAGCAAGGTATTCTGAGCTTTTCTCAGGACCTTGCTACGGGTTAGCTCGGTCTAGGCTCACTATGGTTAGCACGGTTTCAGCTAGAGAAGCCGATATACGTATAGTAAAGGGGAGGACCGAGCTAAGTAAGGCTCGGTCATTTCAGTCAGTTTAGCATGGCTTATGTAGCTCGGTCGTTTTATCATACCGCTGAGGTAAAACTATCTCACTTGGTTTAAGCAGTGAGGAGGGTGTTGAAGGATATGCATTATCTTTTAGGAATGTGATTCCTAAGAGGACTCTGCATGGAGGAGTAAGAGTCCTACTAGGATTGTGCTACACGAAACCTATAAAAGCTCACAACATCGCCTATGGAGAAGTAACATAACTTTGATTCTCGAATACACAGAGCTTTTTGTCTATTTGTCTATTTTGTTGACTTAGGCATCGGAGAGGTATCCGGCACACACCCGCCGGCTAGCTCACGTTTGTGTTTTCAGGGAGTAAAGCGACGTCATACGGAGGAGCGCAAACTTGATCAATAGGATCATACGAGAAAGTTTATTTCTTTCCCGTACATGATCAAATCAGTTTTGTATAAAAAATAGATGGTATTATAGTTAATATGTGACAAAAAAAACTAACACGATCAGATAGCTATCGATATCCAATGAACATGATTTTTTACAAGATTTTAGTATTCGACGAGTTCTACATATTGAACGGTTCCGATTAGAAAAAAGGGACCTGTGGTGGCCCCCACAGGCCGAATAACACCGTCGAATCAAAGGCCAAAAAGTAGACAATCTTTTCTCATATGCTTTTCAACCAAGGCACTGCCCAGCTGTACCAATTCATTAATTTTCTTCTCCCACACACTTATTCATACAATATTTTAATACACATTTTTTCATAAAAAGTCAAAAAGTTAATCTAAACATCCATATTTTCTTCCTCAACTTTTTAGTTAAAAAAGACAAAAAGTACACTTATTTAAGACACCCCAAACAAGTCAAAATTATGAGACTTTAAAAATATAAAATGATATCATTAAAATAATTAAAAATTAAAAATCCAAATGTAAAATTAAAAAAAAAAATTTTGACTCATTGACATCACTAGTATGTATACTAAAATTTAATATTTTATGAAAAATGTTTGGTGGATCTGAATTTTTGTCGCTTAAATAATTCAAATATGTTAAAACGACGTCGTTTTACACTCAAAAGAATATTCAGTGTGCTTGGTTTAAGTTTTTTGGATTAAGTTTTTTAAAAATTGAGTTTTTTGGTTTTCGTGTTTTTTATTTTTTGTTTTTAGTGAATATTTTTAAAATTTTAAACATTTTTTTTTTACTTTTTTAGATGCACTTTACTTAGATATATCTAAAAAGTAAAAAATTTGTACAAAAATATTTAAAAAAATTAATAAATACATAAAAATATAAAAAATGTACTGAATTCTTGTTTTTTTTTTTTGTATTTTTGGTATTTAGCGAATTTTTAAAATATTTTTTTTACAATTTTTTTACTTTTTAGGTGTATTTATGTTAGGTGTGTCTAAAAAGTAAAAAAATTACTTAAAATATTAAAAAAATTCAGTAAAAACAAAAAAATACGAAAAATAAGAAAGTAGAATTTTTTAAGAAGTACTTTTGAAAAAATAGAACCAAACAAGCTTATTGTTTTGAATATTTCGAACCATTCAATTTTCGGACCACTTAACATTGTTGATATTTTATTTATACAAAAAATAATTGAGGCTGGCGCATGGGTCCGTAGTATTGTTGTGTATGACCACTTTTCCGCATGCTTTTGACAAGTTGAAAAAAAGTTAAAAAGTCAAAAAAATTGCTCAAAACTTAAAAAATTATCATTATTTACCAAAAGTCAAAAAGTACGGCTGCATAACTCCTAATACTAATTTTTCCCTATACACTAATTTATATAATTTTTTAATACACATTTTTTCATAAAAATTCAAAAAGTTAACTCAAACATCCATATTTTTTTCCTCAACTTTTTAGTTTAAAAAGATAAAAAGTTCACTTATTTAGGACATCCCAAACAATCCCTTAATATCATTGAAACTATACTTTTAAAATAAGATTAATATTAAATATATTTAATAAAAAGTATTTAATAAAAATTTAAATAAAGAAAAAGCAATTACTATGTTTAGTTAAATAAAAAGTAATTACTCTGTTTAGTTATGCTTTTAAATTATTATTTTTGAATTTTTCATATATGAAAATAATGACCTATTTAATGAAAATATACTTTTAAAATAAGACTAATGTTAAATTTCTTTGAAAAAAAATATATGAACATAATGACTTTTAATTTAATTTTATTAACCAAACGAGTTTAATTTTCATATATTTTTTAAATAATTTTAAAAATAATGGCTTCTTATATTTTTTTTGGAATGAAGATTATTTTTGAGAATTTAAAAAATATATGATTTTTGTGTGTTGTATTTCATTAAGATAATTTTTATATTTTAAAAATAATACTTTGAAAGTATAATTAAACATAGTAATTACTTTTTATTTATTTTAAATTTGTATTAAATATATTTAATATTAATCTTATTTTAAAAGAGTATTTTCAATGATATTAATTTTATAAAAATTAAAATTTAATATTAAAAATTATATATACATATTATGAAAATAAAATCAAAAAGATTAAAATAGTTTTTTATTTTTTATTAAAAACGTGATATAGAGAGGATGTGTGATTTTAATTTTTTTTTGTTAGAAATGTGTGAGAGAGAGAGAGAGAGAATGTGAGTGTGCTATGATGTGTCAGTGAGAAAGGATGGAGAAAGAGAAAGAGAAAGGGACAGATTGAGAGTGTGTGTGTAGTGACTGTGTGTGTTAGTGAGAGTATGGATTTTATTTTATTTTTTAAAGTAATCAAATTGAATCGTTTATTTATTTGTAGTTGACGTGACTCTATCTAAGCTGTTGACACGAGGGTGAGGCTGGATAGGATTTGGACAGATCACCAAACATATTCGTTTTTACATATTTAAATTATTTAAGTCATAAAAATGCTATAAAAAATTCACATCATCAAACATTTTTCATAAATATTAAATTTTAGTATACATAGTAGTGATGCCAATGAGTCAATTTTTTTTTTAAAATTTTACATCTGGATTTTTAATTTTTAATTATTTTAATGATATCATTTTATATTTTTACCTGTCTCATAATTTTGACTTGTTTGGAATTTTGTTCTTTTAGACTAAAAAGTTGAAAAAGAAAATATATAAATGTTTAAGTTAATTTTTTGACTTTTTATAAAAAAATGTGTATTAAAATATTGTATAAATAAGTGTGTTAGGGGTAATTAATGAATCGGTACGGCTCGGCAGTGTGTTGGCTGAAAAGCATATGGAAAAAGATTGTCTACTTTTCTGTTTTTGATTAGACGGTGTTAATCGGCCTGTCGGGGCCACTATGGGTCCCTTTTTTCTAATCGGAACCGTTTAATGTGTAGAACTCGTCGAGTACTATAATCTTATAAAAAATCATGTTCATTGGATATAGATAACTATCTGATTGTATTAGTTTTTTTTGTCACATGCTAACTATAATACCGTTTATTTTTTATACAAAACTGATTTGATCATATAGTTAGTGATATCCGATAGGCGTAATTTTTTACAGACATATAGTACTCGACGATTTTTATACATTGAACGGTTCCGATTAAAAAAAAGGAACCCATAGTAAACCCTCACAGATCCAACTTTGTTAGTGATATCCGATAGGCGTAATTTTTTATAGACATATAGTACTCGACGAGTTTTATACATTGAACGGTTTCGATTAAAAAAAAGGAACCCATAGTAAGCCCTCACAGGCCCAACTTTACCATCCAATATACACATGTAATATTTTTTATTTTTCCTTTCAGTCCTATGCGACAAGTTCTGTACATAGGCTGCTGTAGACGTAATTGGTATTTAATATTATGTTTATTAATTTTTTTAGTGAATAGTGATAATTTTGTAATTTTTTTTTATAATTTTTTTTTTGAATTGTTAAACTTGGCCTAATTTTATAAAAATTAAAATTTTATATTAAAAATTATATATATATATATTATGATGAAAATAAAATTAAAAAGATTAAAATAGTTTTTTTATTTTTTATTAAAAACGTGATACAGAATGAAAGTGTGATTTTAATTTTTTTTTGGTTAGAAATGTGACAGAGAGAAAGAGAGAGCGTGATATGTCAGCAGAAAGGACGGAGAGAGAGAAAGGGACAGATTGAGAGTGTGTGTGTGCAGTGAGTGTGTGTCAGTGAGAGTATGTATTTTGATTTATTTTTTAAAATAATCAATCTGAGCCGTTTGTTTATTTGTAGTTGACGTGGCTCTATCTGAGCCGTTGACCGGAGGATGAGCCGGAGAGAGAAGCTGGAGAGGATTCGGACTCCTCTCTCTCTCCCTCTGTCTCTCTCTCTGATTCTGCTTCTGCTTCTGCTTCTGCTTCTGCTTCAGAGCTCAGCCATGGCTGCCACCAACACAACCAATCTCTCTCCTCTCTCATCCTCCCTCAACAAACCCTACTCTCTCTCCAAACCAAAACCCTCCTCTCTCTTCCCCAAACCCCTCCCCCACCCCTCCCACTCCAAAACCCACAAAACCCTCTTCTCAACCTCTTCTAAAAACCCCATCTCTGATCTTATCTCCACTCACAAACCAAACGCAGATCCCCATTCACTCACATTCGACGACGATGACAAGCCCCGCGAAGAATGCGGTGTTGTGGGCATCTACGGCGACCCAGAAGCCTCTCGCCTCTGCTACCTCTCTCTCCACGCCCTCCAACACCGCGGCCAAGAAGGCGCCGGAATCGTCTCCGTCCACCAAAACATTCTCAAATCCATCACCGGCGTCGGACTCGTCTCCGAAGTCTTCACTCAATCCAAACTCGATCAACTTCCCGGCGATTCAGCCATTGGTCACGTTCGCTACTCCACTGCTGGCTCTTCTATGCTAAAAAATGTCCAACCCTTCGTCGCCGGCTATCGATTCGGCTCTGTTGGGGTTGCCCACAATGGGAATTTAGTGAATTACCAAACCCTTAGAGCCAATCTTGAAGATAATGGGTCAATTTTCAATAGTAGTTCTGATACAGAGGTGGTTCTTCACCTCATCGCGATATCCAAAGCCAGAGCCTTTTTTTTGAGGATTGTTGAGGCTTGTGAGCAGCTTGAAGGGGCTTATTCCATGGTTTTTTTGACTGAAGATAAATTGGTTGCGGTTCGAGACCCCTATGGGTTTCGACCATTGGTGATGGGTAGGAGAAGAAATGGGGCTGTTGTGTTTGCCTCTGAGACTTGTGCTTTGGATTTAATTGAGGCTACTTATGAGAGAGAGGTTTATCCTGGTGAAGTATTGGTGGTGGATAAAGATGGTGTTCAATCACTCTGTTTAATGCCTCACCCTGAACCCAAAGCTTGTGTCTTTGAACATATATACTTTGCTTTGCCTAATTCTGTTGTTTTTGGGAGGTCTGTGTATGAATCGCGCCGGGCATTTGGCGAAATACTTGCTACTGAAGCACCCGTTGATTGTGATGTTGTGATTGCTGTCCCTGATTCTGGGGTTGTTGCTGCTCTTGGCTATGCTGCCAAAGCAGGGGTGCCCTTTCAACAAGGGTTGATAAGGTCACACTATGTGGGTAGGACTTTTATTGAGCCATCTCAGAAGATTAGGGACTTTGGTGTGAAGCTCAAGCTCTCACCGGTCCGGGCTGTGTTGGAAGGGAAAAGGGTTGTGGTTGTGGATGATTCGATTGTGCGAGGAACCACCTCGTCAAAGATTGTTAGGTTGATAAAGGAGGCAGGGGCTAAGGAAGTTCACTTGAGGATTGCTAGTCCTCCAATTATAGGGTCTTGTTACTATGGAGTGGACACTCCTAGTTCTGAGGAGTTGATTTCGAATAGGATGAATGTGGAGGAGATTAGGGAGTTTATAGGGTCGGATTCGCTTGCTTTTTTGTCAGTTGATAGCTTGAAGAAGATGTTGGGAAGTGATTCTCCTAACTTCTGTTATGCTTGCTTTTCTGGGAACTACCCGGTTTTGCCAACGGGGAAAGTGAAACGGGTTGGCGATTTTGTGGATGATGGGTTGAATGGAAGTATAGAATCAATTGATGGGGGTTGGATTCGAGGAACTAAAATTCAGAATGAGGGGGAGAGAGATTCAAACCAGAAACTTCAGGAGGAAACAATTCCTCTATAGTGGTCATATTGCTCAGGGTATTCCCAATTTACTATATTAATTGCCTTTTTTGTGACGACAACAGAAAAATTTGGGGACTCAACGATTTTAGTACAATTTTTGTTGTGTTTCTTTGGATAAATTGCAGGAGGGGAAGCTAAAATCCGTATTCTGATATTGAATTGGTCTAATTTCTCATTATCACAGATAGCTGTGGATTGTTCTTGAGCTTGAGCATTTGAATGCATAACTTTTCTGGAATGCAAGGCATTGTGTTTTCAGACAATGGAAGAGGCATTCTGATATCTTGATTCTTATCCAAGGATGAAATCTTACATAAGTTGTGGTAAGATTTGGTTGGTGACTTTGAATCTTACGCAAGTTATGGGGTGCATGATTTTTTGCGTCTTTATGATTAGAAAGGAATGCCTGGATTTTTTAGGAGAAATTTGAAGACTTTGAAAGTATTTGGGAGAAAGAAGATTTGTTTCTTGGCGCCATTTCGGGTTTCAGTGGCTCCTTTTGCAGTTAATATTTTTTCTATTTTGATTTATTATATGTTTGTTGCTGATCAAATAAAAAACAAAGCCTGTGTTTGGTTGTGGTTTGTAAACGTGATTTGAGAGTATGAGTTGTATTTTGAGTTTATGGGTTGTAGAATTATGAGTTGAGTGTAGAAAATTTGTTTAGTTATGGTTTTTAAATAGAGTGTTGAATTGTGTTTTGAAGATGTATTTTGAATTAAGTTTTGAAAGTTTAATGTGACATGTGAAAGGTGAAAATTTGTTTGGTGATGTGTTTTGAAAATAGTTTTCAAAACTTAATTCAACTAATAATGTATCATCAAACACATAACTCATATATCGATATTCATATTTTTTATGAACAATAATAACCAAACTATTTTTAAAATACTAAAATTAAAAATTGATTTTTTTTGTCAATTAATTTTTTATTTTGTAATTTTTTTGAATAATTGTTTTTTCGAAATAATCTTTTCATTTTAAAATAAACCTATGTCAATTATTTTCTGCCAATTAATTTTTCTATCAATTCATTTGTAAAATGTTTTTAATTTTTTTCTAACATTTTGTTAAAGTCAACAACTTTTGAAAATACATATTAATAAAGAAGGAATAAATACACTAAATTTAATATTTTAAAACACAAATCATAACGTAAATCTTACAAAACATTATCAAATTTTTTTTTCCATTTATTACATGTTATGAATTTCGTCCATATGTGGCAACAGAAATGCAATGCATTATTGTACCCGTTGAGCTCATATAATTGTGGGATTGACATACAAAATGACTATTATGCTCCTCTTGACTTAAATGAAAAGTGATTACATAGAACAAAATATAAAGGGTAAGATAGTAATTTCACTTACTTATTACCTACCCCCTATTGTTTCATAACTATGTGTTCAACACTGAGGTAAAGAAAAAGGAGAGGCTGTTGTTGTGTACTCAGTATACGGATGTGATATATATATAAAAAGTAATAATATTAAAATCAAATAATATTTAACAAATAAAAAGTAAATAAAAAAAAATCCAAACTGAACCTTTTGAACCTCACCCTTTCTATTAAATCTAAATCTCATTCCGTTTACTACACCAACTTCACCATCTTTATAGCGACCCGGTCTTTTCCCATTTAATTATTGTATTCGGACTGTTCCGTAGATTCTGTCATTGTATAATGGTTGTTGTTGTTATTCCTTATTTTCTCATTTGGAATTATAGGATGTGTTGGGCAGGTTTGTTTCAGGTTGGTTGGGTTTAGAAACCAAGAGTTGCTGTCCAGGTTTTTGGTTCTTCGCTCGAGCGAGGAGTTGATATATAGAATAATGCTTGGGACCCCCTTTTGGGAGTCACCCCTCACCCCCCTTTGCCACGTGGCAAGTGGTGATTGGAGGAGTATGAAAAAAAAGAAAAAGAAAAAGAAAATGAAAATGTAACTAATGAGAGAGAGAAGGGGTCAAAGGGGGTGGGGGAAAAGAAGGATGAATCATTGTTAAAAATATAATATCAATATTAGTAGCGCACACAATAAATATTTTGGATTTCTCAAAATTAAGAACATACAAAAGTGGCCAAACAAGCAAAGACTAGTTGATTTGATCAAAGATCAAAAGGTAATCTTTTGAATCGTTATTGAATTGCTTGCCGACAATAACTTTTTATCCCCAATATTGGAGTACACATATATAGGCTATGCCTTTGTTTGGTTGTGTTTTGTAAATGTGATTTGAGAGTATGAGTTTTATTTTAAATTTGTGGGTTGTAGAATTATGATTTGAGTGTAGAAAATTTGTTTGGTTTTGATTTTTAAATAGAGTATTGAATTGTGTTTTGAAGATGTATTTTGAATTAAGTTTTGAAAGTTTAATGTGACATCTGAAACGTGAAAATTTGTTTGGTGATGTGTTTTAAAAATAGTTTTCAAAACTTAATTCAACTAATAATGTATCATCAAACACATAACTCATATATCGATATTCATATTTTTTATCAACAATAATAACCAAACTATTTTTAAAATACTGAAATTAAAAATTGATTTTTTTTGTCAATTAATTTTTTATTTTGTAATTTTTTTGAATAATTGTTTTTTCGAAATAATTTTTTCATTTTAAAATAAAACTATGTCAATTATTTTCTGCCAATTAATTTTTTTATCAATTCATTTGTAAAATGTTTTTAATTTTTTTCTAACATTTTGTTAAAGTTAACAACTTTTTAAAATACATATTAATAAAGAAGGAATAAATACACAAGTGGCGTCGTTTGGCATAACCTATATAATCCATCTTTTTATCTTTTTTTCATCACATCACTTCTCTACTTTTCTGCATATTTTTTCGCAAAAAGACAAAAAGTGCACTTTTTTAGGACACCCCAAACCAACGCTTAATATTTTAAAACACAAATCATAACGTAAATCTTACAAAACATTATCAAATTTTTTTTTCCATTTATTACATGTTATGAATTTCGTCCATATGTGGCAACAGAAATGCAATGCATTATTGTACCCGTTGAGCTCATATAATTGTGGGATTGACATACAAAATGACTATTATACCCCTCTTGACTTAAATGAAAAGTGATTACATAGAACAAAATATAAAGGGTAAGATAGTAATTTCACTTACTTATTACCTACCCCCTATTGTTTCATAACTATGTGTTCAACACTGAGGTAAAGAAAAAGGAGAGGCTGTTGTTGTGTACTCAGTATACGGATGTGATATATATATAAAAAGTAATAATATTAAAATCAAATAATATTTAACAATTAAAAAGTGAATAAAAAAAAATTCCAAACTGAACCTTTTGAACCTCACTCTTTTTATTAAATTTGAATCTCATTCCGTTTACCACACCAACTTCACCATCTCAGAAACACCTTCTCCAGTTACATCAGACAACAAAAATTAGAGAAATAGAAGCATATCCACCATCTCATTAGGTCCTCCTTCTCCACTTCCATAATTTACAGGTTAGTTTTGATGCCAGTTCATCTTCATATTAGCTTCAGACATTAGCTTTAGTTCATCTTCATATTAGCTTCAGACATTAGCTTCAGAGGGAGTGAGGGAGGGAAGAGGAGGACAACCGGCCGGTCATCCCATGGGACATCCAGCCGGTCATCCCGGCCCAGTCACCATTCCACCTCCGTATCTGTTCGCTTTGTTTCATATCTATTCCATTTTCATCTGTTATATTTTCTGATTTCTGTTCTAATTTTGTCACACTATCATTTATTTTTCTGATTATCAGTTTCTAAGTTATAATAAACTAAATGAAACAAGCCCAATATAAATGAGAAATATCATTCCCTATGGTTTTTTTATTATTTATTTATAAAAATCTGTTTCTATGGCATCTGCCTAATTAAATTTTGTCACCAAATTTTTTCATATTTATTTTTTACATAAAAATAAGTTTATATGCACAAAAATGTACTAATGGTTGATATATTTTTCATACATATTTTTTACCTCTCATATGTTTTAATATACAATTTTCTTTCACTTTTACAGTTATCATGCCAAGAACAATTATACCAAGAACAAAACGAACTAGGCCCGAGCTTGGTGAATCCTCAAACCCTGTACCACCACCACAGCAACAACATGATGCCTATCTAATTAATGATTTTGCAACATATCATTATTAACAAGCCCATGAACATTTCATTACTCGACCAATTATTACGGGGAGAAACGTAAAACTACCTTCTAAATATGATTCACTCTTACTTGGCAAATTAGATATAATGGGATGGTTACCATTAAATAATTTGCCAAATAAGATCTATCCCCGTCTTCTACGATTATTTTATGTTCACTTAACACTAGGTGACCAACAAAATGAACCGTTCAGTCTTATCTCTTATGTTAAGGGGAAAAGAATCACACTCTCTCTCCGTCGTTTTGCACAAATTATTAGAGTCGAAGCAGGAGATTTATAATATTTTTTTCAAAATGAGGCCGCATTACAAAAAATTGTTGATGATGTCACTCAGATTTATACCACAATTTGTGACAACCGATTTAGCGGCACTAATTTACAAGTCAGCCATTTAAAACCTCACATTTGTATTCTCCATTGATGGATAGTTGAAAATATCACTCCCAAAAAAAGACATTATAATAGTGTTTCATGTTTTCAAGTTTACTTGTTATATTGTTTTGAAATTGGGCAAAAATTAGATTTATGCTTTATATTACTAAAAGAAATGATGCTTGCGAAATTGGATACTCTGAGTGGCCGGTCACTACCTTTTGGAGCTTTGTTAACCATAATTTTCAAAGCCCATGATGCGAACCTTGAAGGTGAAGGATGGATCAGAATCACTTCACCAATTTCTAAGTATACACTGACCCGAGCTGGTGGTGCTGACACCTTGATGGACTCTATTAATCTTGAAAATCAACCAATACCTGATGAGGAAGAACCCAATGACAATGCCATGCCACCAAATGAACAACCCCATTAATGGACTGATTATTTAGCCTTGGAACAAGAACAGTACAATCAGCGCCTACAATGGGAACAATAAATGGCTAATCAGCTCAATACATTGGGTACTCGGTTCGATGAATTTGGTACTCGGTTCGATGAAATTGCCACCGCTCAGAACTCACTAATTCATCAATTTGGTGAGTTTCGTGCGGACTCAGAGAGACGCGCTGAACTGACAAGAAACCGCATTGATCTGATTGACCATCGAGTCACTCAGCTGTACTATCAGCATTTCCCTCCATCTCCAACACCACCTGACAAGGATGCTTAACTTGTTTAAAAATCAAGTAAAATGGTTCACAGATATGGTGGTTATATTTTTATCTCTTTTTTTGTTTTGGTTATTTATTTGGTGAGTTTTGTTGTGATTGTTTTACTTTTGTTATTTTGTTATAAACTTTTCTATTCATGTAATGAATAACAACGACGGGTTTTTTTTGGAATCATTTAATTACATAGTTATAATGTTATAACAATTTGTGCAAAAAGATTATGCATTGAAAAAATTATTTGTACAAAAATTAATAAATAGTAATTCATAAATGTCTACGAAATCCTTCATTTGAATAAAATGAATAAAAATTACACAATTATTAAATAATTT